TGAAAAGAACAATGGAACATAAAACGAGCCAAATTATCAGAAATTAAAACCAAGTGCAATTAGCTTCAGAAAATCGAGTAAGGGAGGAATAATTTTGTGTGGACTGCGAGTGGGACACAGTTTTTTTTTCACACTGGTACTTTCTCAGAGGTATAGAAGAGCCCCCCTGCCAAAAGTGTGACAACGCACCTCAGACAGTTAAACACTTATTACTATAGTGTCCCCAATACGAAAAGAAGAGACAGAAATTAAAGTTGTCCACAACATCGAAGGATATTTTGTAATAAAAAGAGGAAGATGTTGCCCTCCACTTCCAATATTTAATTGAAACAAAATATTACAGCAGAATATAAAAATTAAGAATCTCCGTCAATGACCCTTTAGGATAGAGGCGAATACAAAAAAAAAAAAAAAAGAAAAAAAAAATACGGTACGCGCAACACAGAACTGTCACTTACTCCTCTACTTTGGATAGAAATTATTTTTTGGCAATGTTGGGCTATTATAAAAGTTTTGTAGTGCATTTTAAACGGAGCTAAAGCTTAAAGACAACAAATCATTAAGACCATTGAAATTTTAAAAAAAGTATATTTATTATATGGACGGTGAGAAACCACATAACTTCAGTCTCTGTGACAGAATGACAAATTTCAAAATTTTTGAGTAATGTCATTTTAGTGATTTTTCTAGTTGGAATAGTTGGAATCTATACAGACAGTGAGCAGGTTGATTCCAGAGTAGGTGATTGCAATGTTGAAATATAGAACTGTCAATAACATCACTAAAATTAAGAATACAATTATTGAAGTGCATTTTTAACGAAGCTACAGCTTAAAACTTACAGCAAACAAAATAGTTATTATTAAAAAACCCCTATTAGTTATATCAAAAGTAGGTAATAAATACCTCGTTACACCATCTGTTTTTGTAAACCACATAACTCCAGTCTCTGAGCTATATATGTGTCTACAGAGAAATTTGAAAGTATATAGATATATTCAACCTATAAATGATTATGGATTGTAGGCGTATTAGTTATTAAACTAATATCTAATAGATATCTAATTATTTAATAACACACAGAGACTATTTTGCGGGATTTGGTTATTTGGACTCAGGAGACAACAAAACATGTATTTCCGTTGAAAACTCAGATTCGAAGAGTTTCACGATCGCAATACTTACCCTTACTATATATTTCATATATATTTAAGGGAAAGTAAAATGTACATATTTTAACTGATTCTTTCAATAAATAATTTATAATCTTTTTGATTTATCCCAGAACTAAAAAACATATAAAACATTCAATTATATTGATATAAATAAAGTAAAATTTTTATTTAAAAAGCGTTATATTCTGAAGAAATCACATTGGTTCACTCAGCAAGCAATACTAGGAAATAATTAGAACTTGTTGAAGATCTACTATTTTCATTATTTTGTCTTTCACACAAAAGCTCTGCTGCATAGCTGAGATCCATTTTTTATATTTTTTGGAAGTTACATCACCTGAAGCAATCGAGATTTTTTTCTGTATTTCTTAGAGGATTACTAATTATGAAGATAATAAAAATCATTTCGAATTATATCAGGAATCATGCTTTATTTATTTTACTTTATGTGACAAGGAAAGTAGTTTTTTATGTAATATATAAGTGTTTGAAAACAATATAACATTGTGCAATAATGTAGAGCATTTTTCATTTTGTAATTGTTTTAATTACTTATTAAATGTCGATGTATAGAATCTCATAAGGTATTATTTCTAAAATTCTGATCTGACCTCTAGTTTCATTCTTTATTGAATCTTAAGTTCTCTTTATTTTTTTTTCAGAAACGGAAAGTTATTGGAGGGATGAGGAAGGGAGAGGTGACTAAAAGCAGAAGTTAAAATATGAGAATGGGAATCAGCTGCTTTTCCGCGGTAGGTCCCGTATCTACCGCTAGAGTTCTCCTCTTGCTCTCTTTACGCAAGATAACCCATTGTTACAAAGTTTACAAAATTTACATTCTAAAAGTGTAATACGTTTGTTAAATGCAAAGTTCTTCATTTTTTGTCAATTTGATTAGTTTTGTTTATATTTTTTTTATTTATTATTATTTTCACTTACATACAAAAGATTTCGATCGTAACACATTTCAAGTCCAAGTTTCGAAGGAAATACACATTTTGAGTTCTTACGAGTTCAAATAACGAAGTCTCTTAAAATGGTCTGCGAGGGAGATCCTGAAATCGTACTTATCTAAAATTACAAACAAAATCATGGTATTTAATATAAAATTAACCAACCGGAAGTGCTTAATTAAATGAAATAGACTTATAATTATAGATTATACAATATACAACTTACAAATACAACTTCAGCAATTTTAATTAAAATCATCATATCAATGGACAATTTGGTGGTTTTCAATATCAGATATATCAGATATGTATTATCCTCATTGATATAGCCCCACATGGCTTAAAAGCTTAATTTTCTTAATGGCTTAATTTTAAGTAACTTTTTTTTTCTTCTTACCTTCATCTGCACTTGTCATGAGAGTGGCAATCAGCAGATTTGATGAGATTGTAGACGCTAATGTTATGAAAGGCATGCGGATTAAATATCTTTAATTTGGTTTATGTGAAGAAATTAACACTCACTCCTTAGCATTAATAAAACATGTTTAAATATAAAATGGAATTTCATGATTAACTATAGTAAAAAAAGATTTTTTTTTAATTTGAATTAATTTCGGAAACGAAAGTAATAACGTAAATGTTCAATATATTGGAAAGTTTAAAACTTAATATATGATGACGTAGAAAATAACGGAGAAGGATGAAAAACCTATGACTAATAATTTCGCCTAAATAAGTCTAATGTAAGCTGATATTATTAAACACGGGTGCTGAATAGCAGTAATGCGGCTGAGTGAGATACACTGGGATCTCCTAGAAGCTATTCTATCACTATTACTATTGTCCTTAAATGTGACAGAATCTAATCATACTCAATAAAAAATATTTTTTGTTAATATATATATATATATATATATATATATATATATATATATATATATATATATATATATATATATATATATATATATATATATTGTTATTATTATTATTAAACTGAAACCAATTGCATCCATAGACTCTAATTTAAGTCGTTTGATAAGGAAAAGAATCATGAAAGAAATATTTTAATTACCTATCAACGTTTATGTTACCTATTCGATTGAATGGTGAAAACGTTTTCATGGAAAATTAAAGAAAAAGAAACTACTAAAATACTTAAGTTATATGGAATATATGCAGTAATGAGAAAATAACAATGAAATTGTAATTCTGCTCAACCGTATTGAGTTGCTAAATGGCACAGCATACTGATCAGTCCTATCGATAATGAAAATCGATAAAACAACAAAAATAGGATTAAGTTTTACGGGATTAATATCCATGCCACATATTATGTTTTTCACCTTCTCACTTTTTTCACATTAAGAAAAAAAAATAGACGATATTAGATAATCAGTTGATATAAACCCATCAATAAATAATTTGTAAAGTAACTTTAAATACTTTTTTTTATACTTTTATTTAAATATTGAAAACGATGTTTTTATAAACTGATTTAACTTAGTAACTTAACTCGATTATTACATGAAGAATCAAGCTACTAATTCAAATGTATTTACTTCCTCATGTAAATTGATAATGAAATGATTGTATCCTTCAACTTGATTAAGATTAAAAATAAAATTGAAATGTTTTTTTCGGATTTTAATTATTGTGAGTATTAAGTGTATCTCATTGTTTCACCAATGCGATTGTTGTAGAGATAGGTATTATATGTGACAAAATGATTATCAGAAGTAGAAACTGATATTTTAAATTTATTTTACATATCAATTATTTTGCATACATATGTGGTCATTTAGGAATTTTATTTATTAATCATAAATAATGGTTTTCATAAACCTTTTTCTTTCTCCTACGTTTTTTTCATGTTTACTACAGTGGTTGGTTTTTATTTTTATTTATTTATTTTTTTTTTTTTTTAATTGTAACATTATACTGCGAAGCAAAGTAAAATAAATTCATTTTAAATACCTTTTTTGTTTTCTCAATCCTCATATAGCTCAATTCTTCTAAATAATAATAATCAGCAGAAAAAAAGATTCTAACAATTTGTAAAATAATTGAACAGATGATTAGGAAATAGATACAGGCTTAAAGTTATAAAAATGTTTGGGAAAGATAAATAAAATTGTTAATTAACTCATCTCTACAAATTGTTCGTAGGACCACATGAAATTATATATTATTAATAAATGTAACCTTTTGTTTCTTTTTGAGTATCAGTTATAAAACAAATGGCTCCAAATAAAGGTTATTATTTTCATTCCATTTATTACATGTTAATACTTTCATGTATTGTAATGGCATGTAGAAAATCAAATAATTATGATTAGAGTCGATTAAATGATATAATTTTAAGTGAAATGTGAACAGTAATGAATATTATAGTAGTGAATTGTTTCTGATAAAAGTTGTATATATAAATGTGCCTAGATAGATTTTAAAGTACATCTGTATATTCAAGCTATAAATGATTATGGATTGTACGCGTATTAGTTATTAAACTGTTATTGTTACTGATAAAAATATAATATGCTACACTTGCTAATAAAATATGATATATTATTATAATACATTATACTAGTAGATATATATAATAGATTATATATATTGATTAGATAATAACAGAAAACATGTACAAAAGAAATGAAATACAGTTAATAGAAATATTCAAAAGTAGATTATAACAACATATCATAAAAATAATACTACCAGATTATAAATAATGACAAAAAAAAAAAAGAATAGGAATAGGCTTTGCCTAGATATATTTAATTCCTTTATTTTATGAATTTATATTTATTAATTTTCAAATTTCTTCTTTTTTCTCAGTTTTCTTCATATTTTCCTATTTTTTTTTTATATTATGATTGTTTTAATGCTATTTATTGGATTTTTTAATGATATAATTTCTTTTATTTCATCGTTCATTGATAATGAGACTTATAACTGCCATTTAATAGGGTTACTATAAAATGGAAAAAAATTACAAAATATTAATATTGTTAATAATAGAAATAATAATAATAAATTATATTAAATTAGTAAATTATTTTCAAATTGCAATAAAAAAACCGTTGATACTTCGGCAGGTGTTGAATAGTCATAGAATGACGTACTGTCTCATCTGTTGTTTGCATCATTGATTTATTGTTTTAATTAATGAATGATTATAATCGACCAAGAAAAATTGACCCCTTTCAAAGTTAGAAGTTTTACGTTTCACGATACGTAGAATCTGAAAATCCAATTTTGTCCGTACGCGGCATTACTCCGAAACCACTGAAAATTTTTATGAAATGTTTAGAAGATAATGAATAAAATAAAATAAATAAAAATAAAAATCGGACAATTTGTTGGAGAAATAAGGTTTTTATTTACATACTATTTTCTTATGTTTCAATATAAAATCGGTTTCTTTTGTTTTATAAATGGATTACATTTTATTTACGGAAGTAGTCGAGGTTGTTACTTGCAAAATAATTTTCTTTTTAATTAAAAGGAAAAGAATTTAAATAAATGTAAAAAGTGATAGATAAATAATTCCTATAATTTTACTACGTAGTATGGTGCTCATTTATTCATATTTAAATATATGTCCTATCAAATATTTCTTCGTATACAGAGCTCAGAGATTGGAGTTACGAGGTTTTCATTGCCTACAATCGATATAATGAATAGAGTTTGTGTTATTATGATGGTCTTAGTGAGTTGTTGCATTGTTGAATATGATCGAAATTCAATACACATGCTATTTAATGTTTAGCTCCATTAAATATGGGCTTCAAAATCTTTTTATAATAGCCCAATTTTGTAGTAAGCACAAGTAGAGCAATAAGTCAAAGTTGTATGGTGCAAGCACCAGATTTCTTTTTTATCCAATCGCATTTTAACATTATATTGTACTTTGTACATAATTAAGGTTTTATTTTATATATCTAATTATAAGAAATATTTTTATCTATATAACAACACTATGATATATATTTAACCAGGACTATAATATATATAAGAATAATATATATTTAAACATTAAATATTGAATTGGACAGGACAGTTGTGGAGTACAGAGTGGACTAGCGGAGGGTAGCTTCAGTAGGGGACCGGGGTCGCTTCATCTGTCTCTATCAAGGAGCTAATTGCCTAGCTCCCACTTAGCTCTGATTATTCCCAGTCACCCCTAATCACCTAGCTAACAGTCTTAGTCTCAACGTATCTATCTTCTCTTCGATGTAAAACTAACCTTTCCTTCACAATTTTTCAACTCATACATTTTTTTATAAGTAACTATTACGTCAATACATGGAGGGATTCTTCTTTGTAGATTTTAAGAATATAAAATAATTGAGTAAGTAAAACATCTAAATTGTATACTCTTCATGTACCATGTGCTATGCATTGTAAAGACCGCCGGTGGAGTTTACTTAATTATTTTAAATGTATAAATAAATAAATATCATAAGCGCTCACATCTGGCGGTTGGGTACCTGAGCGAGGGTAACGACCCACGAGGACAATCTTTTGTAAGTGGTAATAAAAACCCTTAAGAACCACCGACCAAGACCGACAACTGAGTGTTTAAACAGGATCCAAAAAGACCTTTCACACCTTCCACCAGAAATACGTAATATACCTGGTTAGTGTACCTGGTTAATATACCTTGGCCTGGGGGAGAGGGCGTGGTCATCCCTTAGGCTAGGAATATTCGGCCAATCAGAAAAGACTACCAAAAGAGAGGGGGATGAAGAAAGGTGAGAAATAGAGAATTGGGACTGAACACTGAGAGCTGGGACACAGCCGAAGACTTGATCAGGAGAAGCGGAGAGAGGAAGATATGGACTGATAGCTGGGACTCAGGCTAGAAGACAGTCGGAGGGAGCAAGATGAAGACTTGAAGACCAGATCGACGGAGCTTCCAGAGAGGTAGCCAGAACAGCTAGAGATAACGACAACACCTCGTGGTATCTAACCTTTTAATACAGAATTAATATATTTTTCGGTAGATCGGTTCCCTTCTGGAACCGATATAAATACCAATATAAGTATTAAATACAAATAAATGCGGTTTCTGGAACCCCCTACTCGCCGTTGAAACGCGAGGCCAGGAACATAGCACATGCAATTCGCGGACTTAATTCAAAAAGGTTTTAACTAACAAAACAAATGGAGTTTTTCTACGTTTTTAAAAGTTATCCTCGTCCAAAATAAATTTTAGATTCTTCAGTTAAAAAATAAAGAAATTGACTTTGACATAGTTATAACCATAGACTACTTTTGTAAGTAATTGGTCGGGAAGATTCTAACTGTTATAACATTCAACTGTTCATGAATTATAGTTATTTTAACGTAAGTTACATATGAAATTATATAATTTATATTCATATAATATAGTAAACTTTCATATAGTAAACGTCTGCATTATGTATGTAATAGGGGTTATAAAAAAAATGACCGTTTTATCAAATTAAAGATTTCAAAGGAATGTAAATATTTTTATCCTATTTAACACTTACCAATACTTAATAATAACTTTAGAGCATTATATTACTATTATTAGCGTGGATCTACAATCCGTTGTCGAATCCTGGTCTCCTCCAGCAGCTGCCGCCTATTCTCTCGGTTCCCTGCAGCCGCCATCCAATTCCGAAGTCCCAACATTTTTGTTGCATCAGCAGCAACACCATCAGCCCATCGCAGCTTCGATCTTCCTCTTCTCCTGTTACCATAAAATGGCTCCATCAGTAATTGTCTTGGTTGATCCTCTCTGCCCATCCTAACGACGTGTGCTGCCCATCTCAGTCTTGCAATTTTCATCACTCTAACTATATCCGACTCCTTATACATGGTGTACAGCTCCTGGTTTTTCCTCCTTTTCCAATCTCCTCCGAAGAGAACACCACCATATATGCGTCTGAGGATTCTTCTTTCAAAGACCAGGAGTTCCTCTTCACAAGCACGGGAGGTAGTCCAAGTCTCACAACCATACATCAAGACTGGACGCACTATCGTCTTATAAAGACTTAGCTTCAATTTTCTAGAATGAGCTCTACTCCGGAACTGCCTTGCCATAGAAAAATAGCACCGATTTACTGCTATGATCCTGTGCCAAATCTCTTGTTCAGGTGCGTTATCTTGAGTTACCAATGAGACAAGATATACAAAAACATTAGTCTTCTCGAATTGGTACTCCCCGAAAGTTATCTCCTCTCCAGGCCTAGCATCCCTCCCGTAACCATACATTTTATATTTTCAACATTGACTTCCAAGCCAAGTCTTCTCGCAGGACACACGAGAGCAAGGTAAGCGTCCGATACAGCCTGGAAGGAACGTCCTATGATATCTATAGAGCATTATATAAAATCGTTTAAAAAAAAGTCTCAATTTAGTTATTCGTTTCAAAGAAGAAACATGACAGTGTCCTACATATTTCTAGTAAGGCATTTCGAAATTTTAAGACATTATTGGAAAAAAAAAATCACTACCTCTGAAGAAATGCGTGAAATTATTAAATACGAAGGGGAAGGTGTACTTGACCAGGGCACTGCGCGGCGTTGGTTTGAAAAATTTAGCAGTGGAGAAACGACATTGGAAAGGAAGTAGGGCTCCGGACGACTATTAATGGATATTGATGAGGTTCTGCAGGAAGCGTTGAGTCAAATCCGTCCAGAAGTACTCGCAAACAACTGGAAAGATTGTACTTGAAGTTGTCAGAGCGTTTTGATCAACCGGATAGAAATTTTATTCCAACAAGATAGTGCTCGTCCTCACACTTCCGGTCGAACCAAAGAAAAGTTAAAGAACTTCATGGGTTTGAAGTGTTGCCTCATCCACCTTATTTTTCAGGCCTCGCATCATCGGATTAATACTTATTTCGATCCATGGCCCATTTTCTTCAATGGAAAAAATTGGATGATTTTTCGGTTGAAAAGTTCTTTGACAGCCATCCCAAAGAATGGTATCATCGTTGGATCGAGCAATTTTCCAGCATATGGCTAATGAAGGTAGATAACAATGAACTATAGTTTGAGTATCATAGTAATAATAATAATACAAATATTTGGTTGAAAAACGGTCATTTTTTTATACACTCTATTAATATATTTAAATCTATTATTTCAGAAACGAAATATTTAATATTATCATAATTTTTAGAAAAAATCCAAAAACCTATATTACATTAAAATTTGGAACTTGAAAATATATAATTATTAACAAAAAAATTAGCAATACATATATATTTTGATGATCAAAGCATGTTTTTGAAAAGTTTACTCTGGTGTTTTAGAAAAAACAACCACAACATACTTTTGTCTTTTTATTTATCTTACTTATAATAGTCTTTGATTACAACCACATAGAAAATTATTCTAAAGTAGAGTATTGCTTCTGAAATAAATAACATTATTTCATTTAAATTCAAAAGGATAAATTATTTTAATACTCCAATTTATTAAAAAAAAGGAGTGCGAAATATTTTTATTTTATTCAGTTTAATTTATTTTATGAAACGTAAAATCTCAAATTTTAGAGTAGTTTGTATTCTTTTTCTTGGCCGTACCATATACCAAAATTCCAGTTCTATGTGCTTATTTCGTCGTTCTATTAGGCCTGTTGAGTGTTTGATAGAAAAAATATTTATAGGAAAGGTAACAATACTTCCTGTATTAATATAAATAAGATATTGTCATATAAGTTCTAACACCAAGAAAATACTTTGTGGAATTACAACGTTCTAACTAAAAAATTTCAATATTATAAATTATATTAATAAGTGCTAGAATTAAGTCATCAATGAATGCAAAAATAATTTCATTTCTTCAACGTAGATAGATAGATAGAAAATAAACTTTATTCTGGGACAAGGTCCCTTATGAATAACAGATATGAACAAAAAAAATTATTTAATCTCTCGTAAGAACACAATTCTTCCCTACCTTCGGTAGTGAGGAAGCAAAATATATTAAAATCGCGATATCTCTACTAATAGTGCTTCAATTTCGCTGAGGCTTTCTTCATTTTTTTAAGAAATTCGAATAGCTTTGAAACATCTTATCACAATATTGACAAAAATGTGTATACTTCTTGAATTATTCGGAATTTAATTTTACCATCCCTCGTAACTTTTTTTTGAGCTTCTTTTCGTTGAAGTATGTTATATAGATAAATTTAAAGGGCGTAGAGTAAATGACTTTAGCGAAGTTTCATTGAAATCGGTACATTCGTCTAGGCGCTACAGTCTATAGCAACGCAGGTTTTGAAACTAGGCCGCCATTTTGAAACTAGAAGGCGAATAGTAATGCCGGTAAAGGAGAATCATCCTCGGGTGATCTCTGATTTTATATCCAAATTTGAAAAACATTGGTGTCGTAGTTTCGGAAAAAATGCGCGGACGGTGGACGGCGGACTAGTAGTGCATATATAAGAGAAAGTGGTGGACAGAATTCAATAAAATTGACACTACATCATTTTTTCACCAAAGTCTTCCTTTTATCTAACTTTGAGCTAAATCGAACGAGCCCTTTCTGAAATATTGGCTTATCTAAAAATATATGTTTGCGCTTGCGTAAGCGGAAGTGCTGGTTGGAATTTGATATAAAATTTATATGGGACCATTTATGCACCAATCAGCATAATCCCTGAAAATTTCACGAAGATAGGATGAACGGTACTAGGTGATGTGCCCGTCACATCTATTTGACTACAGACAGACAGACACCGAACCAAATTTGATCCTTGATGTCTAAAACGTAAAACGCGAGTGAAAATTTTCGATTCTGAGCAAAACATTTTTTTTAATCTCTCACACGAACACAATGCTTCCCTACCTTAGGTAGTGAGGAAGCAAAAATAAAAACTACATCTGGCCAAAAATTACATTAATCAATATTAAAGAATATATACAGTATCTTCAGTGAAATTAAATTAAAACAAGTAAAAATAAAGTTTTTTGTATAACACACTTTAGTTCTAAGTAAAACTCCTAAGATGAACACACCTCCCTGCTGAAGACCTGCAAAGTCACCCGAAACGTCGGCTTTCAATAAAATAGTTTTACCACTATTTAGCCTATTTATGACCGCAACCCCGGACCATCTCCTTCCTTTATAATGCAATTATTAAACTACTACGGTAAACTATTAAATATTCAAAAATTGTGTTGGTTCGTTCTTGAAACAGTAACTGATAAATTCGATAATAACGTTATCATCTTCTTCGCGCTCGCTGTGAGGAATGGTATCATGAAAGCCATGTACAATTGACTTTTTTTACACAAGAACATAAAAACTAATTTTTTCTTAATGATTTATCAGTATTATTTCTTATTTTATTTTCCTTTGCTATATTCTATAGTAACTAACTACTGCTTATTGCAATTATAGACTAAAAAATGGTGCCTTTAACATAAATAGAATAAAAATATAAAATTGTTACATATGACCTTTTGCACTAACAGTAGCGATTTATATAATTACATTGAAATAAATATTTACGTATCAACTCAGAGAAAAATAAATTGAAGACGATTTTTGAAACTGTATTTTCGTTATATATCTAATACTATTTATTCCTGAGTATTTAAATTAAAATTACATTTGATTACTAAAAATTACTGCAAAATATTTATGTTCCTTATTCACCAGTAAGTTACAATGTTTATCTTAATAATGTGGAAGACGTTTTTTTCGTGGTTTTAGTTATTATTAGGATTTCTTCCAAAGGAAGAATGTAATTATAATTAGATGCTTCTTATATTTAGATTGGAGCATTTCTTTTTTTTTTTTCTTGTTAAATGATTGAATTTCAGTAAGGATGTAACTTTAAAATATAATATTATCTAAACTTTAAAAAAAAAAATTACAGTAAAATATAAGAATTCTGGTAATGGAATTGTACGGATTTTCAAGTTCATTACTCGTATGGTTGAAAAACTAACTTTTCAAAATCATTATTAGTTTAATATCCGACGAGGTGATTTAAGAAATAAAGTGAATTTTATTCTGGGACATTTAGTCCCCTCAGAATAACTATAATGAACAACAACATGATCATTGTATGGCAATTATGAATAATTAAATTACAATTAAAAATAAATTAATTTACAAAATTGTCTTATCCTAATATTAAAATAAAGAAAAGACTGTAGTAAATATATGATATTGAAGTAGACATGTCTATGCATCATGAATTTCAACATGAGTACATACGAGTGAATTCCCGTATTTGTACAAAGAAGCAATATGGCACGCACATAAATATCTGCAAGATATACATATATTGTAGCTGACATCTCTAAGGTATAAAATAACTTTATTTTCACTTATATTCGGAAGATTGATAACTAAGGAGATGGAATAATAAATTGTGTTTAAATAAGGTCAAGGGTGAGGATTTCCGTATAGAGGCTCGTAGGAAATTCCAAAACGAGGTAGCACGTATGACGAAGGATTTTTTATAGGGAACAGTTCTATGAGAAAGAATAAACAGATTTGAGGATTGGAATCTCGTGTTGAACGAACGAATAGAGGAACAAGGAGTAAATAAATCAAGAAGATAAGATGGTTTTTTGGTTGTGAAGGTTCGGATAAGAAATGGTTACTGAAAAACATTAATGATTCATTTTGTGATGTTTTCTTTAGCTTTGAACTTACAGTATTTACTTGTGAGAGAATAAATTTCATTGGTTACTCAAATTTCTGAAAAAAATGTAATTGGACTACTTTTTCTGATTATAAACAAAGCTACTAAAGCCCATCACTTGTTGAAGTTCTGAAGGCAATTCGTTATCTTTCTCTTCTTCGTTGACTCTAACTTTTTTGGCCTTTTTGAATACTTCCATATCAGTCACCTTCTGTTCCTCCTCCTCAATATCAGGTTTGGGAGTTTCCAGGTCATTTGTATATTTAGATTCTTCCAATTCTTTCTTCTTGGATCTCAGTTTGTACCTTACCTCTTGCACTGATGCACGCCTTGTCTTTAACGATCTTCCAAGATGCTTTTGATGTCTTCTTCCATTGAGGTGATCCAAATAAAGAATGTCATTTTTTACAATTATATCACAAACCGAGCAGTGGAACCCTCCTGAAAGAAATGATTTGTGAGTGGCTGTATCTATAATTTCTTTTCTAGACCGGAAAGATTCAAAGTTTATTTTGTATTCTCTTGGCCTTGCAAAATCGAGTGATACATACTCTTTCTCTTCTTCATTAGTCAAATCGGTGATATTGGATAATCTAGCTGCCGCTCTGCTTTCATATTCATCTCTGTTCCATTTTCTTCGATGGTCCATTCAATTAAAACTTGGCTTCCAAAAATAGGAAGTATATTTGTAAAATTAATAAGTAATAATATGAAAATAAACTTGCAACATATGACGGAATGTACAACAATGAATTTTAGCATAGAAATAAAGGGAAAACATACATTTATATATTTTAAATTTTATCTGTGACTGATATATTTAAAATCACTTTTATGCATTTCTGTTTTACAATGATATATGATTTTTCATTTCGTTGCACAGGCTCGGTTTAGAGCCTTTAGAGTCCTCATATCCTTATCCTGTTTACTTAAACCCTTCACTGAACAACTTTGTTTTCAATATTTTCCCGCAAAAACAATGGCAGCTATAAAATGACCAAAAGGGTCATCGACGTTTCTTTCCTCTGTTTAAAGCATTATCTGAACGATATCATCATTAGGACTTATATACCCGTTTTTTTATGGAAAAAAGTTCAGCTGAGGAATCAGCAATAAATCCGTCCAGAGGAATACATTTCTCCGACCATATCAAAGGAATAGCCTATACCTATATATAAGAAACAGAAAATTGGGAGATGAGTCTGATTGAAACAAGATAGGCCATGGGGTTTAATTAAACTAATTAAAAATCGAGTTTTGAATAAAATATCAGTATTATTTGGTTAGTAAAGTAACCCGCTCTCCACACTTTCTTCGATTTTGTAGGAGTGATGTCCTATCCTCACTATCTGATCCTCTTGATAACCTCTCATCAGGACAAACAAGTTGCTTGGTCAAACACCTGATGCTGTATTTCTACATTAGATCTAGTTATCAAATGCCGAGGGTACGTTTAATAAAAGTAATATGACATCGTTTTTTGTATTATTTTCTTTGTGTTGGTACAGAAGCAGTAAGTCAGCGATTCCTTTATCTTCATTGTCTCTATCCAATGTGGTTTGTGAGAAATATCTTACGTAATTTATTTATCGGTTGTAATATTTTATTACTTACATCAGGTTGAAATGGTATCATTAATGTTCATCAATATTAATGTATAATGAACCTTGAAAAAACGAGATAAACTTCCAAACTGGTATGATAAGTGAAATTTGTGATGGGAAAGGGAAAGTGTATTAAACATATGTTTTATGTGTCCGTGCTGGTGTACTCGCGTGTTTATGCACGATTTTTTTATTTTTACATTCATAGAGCAGGAGTTCCTCAGGGGTCAGTACTCGCTCCGCTTTTATACATTATACACACACACGACATTCCTAACAGCGCCAGAACTAATATAGCGACTTATGCAGACGATACAACTATTCTAACAAGACATAAAAACCCAACACACGCCACACATACTTTACATCATCTAACAAAACTAAACGACTGGTGCAAACTCTGGAAAATTCGACTCAACCAAGACAAATCACAACACATCACTTTCACTCTTCGACATGGAACATGCCCTCCTATTTACCTTGACATTGCCGAAATTCCTCTAACAGATAAAATACAATATCTTGGACTGACATTCGACAGAAAAATGACATGGGGTCCACATATCAACAAAAAAAGAAAAACTTTAAACCTCAGACTACGACTGTTATAATCACTTTTCTCAAGACGCTCAATTTTTTTTTTTATTTATTTTAAATGATATTTACAACTGTATACAAGAAATACATCTAGTAAATTTGCACATTGCTATAAAGACATGGAACACATGTTGAGAAACTACCCATTGGTAGCACTCTAATAGTATGTCTATATTAGAAGATCACGTGGCCATCTTCTTTTCAGACGCCTCGGAGGGTTATCAGGAATCGAATAGGAAGCAAGGTTAGAGACAAGAGGGTTGGGATGGTTATGAAGTTTATTATGGAAGGACAGATATCTGGATTGGGCCAAATCTGATACATAAGGAACATTAAGGTCAATATGGATAATTTTATTTGTAACAAAATAAGGAGTATTGAGGATTTTACGAAAGATTTTGGATTTCAAGGACTGTATGCGAGAGGAATTTGAAGGCTTGGTGGAGCCCCATAGCTCAACCCCGTAAGTCCAAATAGGCCTTATTATAGTCATGTAAATCAGTCTTTTATAATTGATTGAAAGGTTAGAGCGTTTGTCTAGTAAGTGTTGAAGTAGTCGGAAACGTCGAGCGGTTTCTTGTCATTTCAGTCTGGTATGAGGATTCCAAGTTAGACGTTTGTCCAGATGGAGTCCTAGGTAACGGATTTGTTCAACAGGAATAAGTGAGGTGTTGTTAAAGGATACTGAAGGACAGGAAGTCATTGGTTTACGACGAAGGGTGAAGGTAATTTGATGGGATTTATTGGAATTTATTTAAATTCTCCAGTTCTGACACCATTCCTCAAGGTTTGTGATGTGGGATTGAAGGGTTTGGGATGCAATAGATGGGTCGTTATTGACTGATAGGATACATGTGTCATCAGCATATGTGGTGATGACAGTGTTCTCTCAAAATTAAACCTAAAACAAAAACTGAACACTTACAATTATCTACTTAAGCCCATATGGATCTACGCTTCACAAATTTACAGAATAACCAAAACGACCCAAATACTAAAACTACAAACTTTTCAGTCTAAAACTTTCAGAACCATAACCAAAGCTCCATGGTACGTCACAAACACGGGCGGATCTACGGGGGAGGGAGTGGGACTTTCGGGCTGAAGTCCCCTCCCAAAATGGTAAAATATAACCATGCTTTATCGAAAAAAATATTAACAAACTATTGCTTAAAGTATAATTATTCGTGTAATTACATTTAAAAGGGCTTTAGGAAAATATTTTCACTTAAACACTAGCTCATATAGTTACTTAGTTTCTTTCTTATTTTCCAAGGTAATTATCGTTACGTTTATGAAAAAAAAAAGCTTTTGGGCTAAAGCCCCCCCAAAATTAAATCCTGGATCCGCTAGTGGTCACAAACATTACATTACATTAAGACCTTCAAATGTCAACAGTTAACGATTACATACGGACACACTACAAGCGATTTCACAGTAACTTACATGGACATACTAACACACTTATACAAAGTATGGCTACATTTAACATGCCCGAAAACACACTTAGGAGGCTCAAAAGGAGCTGAATGAGGGATTTCCTCACTTAAAAATATTAAAAATGGGCACTCCTCTCCATCACGCCAATCAAGCCATTACCTATATTTGTACCGGCAGCAGGCCCGCTAATTGTCATTGCTTATGACAGGTGTGGGTGAATAAATAAAGTTAAAAAAAAAAAATCATAGTCTTATGCTTATTCTGATCTTATATGATTCACTTATATGAATTCCATCTTATTAGATGTAAATAATATATAATAATAATACAAATGAAGTAAATAATAATATAAGATAAAAGTTCAATGTTGTTCGAGGTCCTAATGGCGTTAAGGTTAAGGCCGCGTGTGTGTTAAAGCGTAAACTTTAACATTACCGATTAATAAACGACGCCAGTTCGAATCCGGCCAAGGCAGTTTAGAATTTATTTCGTGACAGATCCACGGAATGAATCTTAACCTCATCACTCTGGTTAGAGTAGGTTTGGTTGTGCCTATAGAACAAGACCTCCTCCTTCTTATAACAAAAAAAAAAAAATAAGGTTTTTAAATATTAAATGCTAATCGGAGCAAGGATCAATAGATGTTGCCATCTGGTCAAACCAATTTTTTTTTTTTTAAATGAAGATATATTTTATTATTATTATTTATTATAACAATAACAAATTATTGTTATTATTATTTTTATATAGACTCTAAAACTCTATTAGTATATCACTTTAAACGTTTTGTATGATCAAGTAAAATGAGCTGCTGAAAGCTACTGTTAATTTTTGCAAAGGGGAGCAATTGTTAATTCCTTAATTTGGAGGAATACAGAAATTGGAGAGAAATGCAGAAGGGGAGATGTTTTGGTACCAATTAAGACGGGAGCCAGGAGACTCTGAAATATCATCCAACATCGACCTAGTTCCACCTCAGACCTCATTCCTTCAACGGCTTCCTTTCTCTATTAGTGGGGCCCACTTCAAGTAGTATTATTTAATTGAACCTCGTCTTTATAATTGTTTAAAAAATATTTTAATTAAAAAAAGATCTTTACAAATTATTACAAATTGATTTATTATTTCCAAACAGTTATATATCAAACGTCATACTGGTTTTCTTGTCACTTCGGGGAAAATAAATAAAAGGTGTTTGCTGGTATTAGACTTAAGATTTTTTTCCATGTTTTATTAAAGAATATTGACAATCGTCTTGATTTTTTCAGATATGTAAGGTATTCTAGTAATCAATAGCAAAAAAAAATGTAATCTGCATTGAAGAAGAATACGTGATAAACATTTAGAACATTATCTTTGCACCGAATCGTCCTATTTCTATGATTCCTTTTTTATTTTGACATAATTTTGTAAACTTTCAGATGCGTACAACAAACTTCTTTTTAATTATTCGAAAATCTCAGTTCCAAAGACTTTGGGGAGAAGAATTTAGCCAAATTTCATTTAAATAGTTAACATCCATTTAGTCGTTAACAAACCATAGCAGCACAGGTTGTTCTTCCATTATGAACAGAAAGGGTTGATGGTAATGTCGGGTTCATAGGATAATCCTAAGGTGACATCTGACATTGATAATAAATCTCAATGCAATCAGCACGTTTTTTTATTGATTATTTTAAAAATTTATTTTACCTAAATTCAACGTAAAACGACAAATTTTGAGGGAGCATACTTTTTTTTTTGGTTGATTACAAAGGTCCAGTATTGTAAATGAATAACCAAAATAAAATGAAAAACCGATATTTTGCAACTAATCCATCTGATATTTTGTTATAGCAGTTATAATACTTTTCATATAATGCTTGGAATAATACTTAGCTGAAAACCGAAACACAAAACCCTTGTGTCGCTTCGCTTAATTAGGCAAAAGAATTAAATTATCATGTTAAATATCTTATATTTTCATGGGTGATCATTGTTCAGGTCATTATAAAGATTTTATTGGTGCCGATAACCCAAACATGCGGGTCTTCAGGGCGTGTTTCGAGCACTGAAAGTATTCAAGTACTCAGTACTTAAGCACTAAAGG